GTGAAAGATGGCAAGTTAGATGAATACCTTGCATTGATGATGTACGTTCATAAAATTGAAGGGCTTCAGCGTGAACACTGTGGCGGGAAACCAGATGATGATGTGTCGAGAGAAGGTATGAATGAGGTGGCTGTAGCCGGAGCTACGCCGTATACTTACTCCGCGGCGATACAAGAGCTTGCTGCGCTTCTTCTGTCACTAAATGAAGATGAGGAATTTGCTCTTTTCCTTGACCAAATTAAACTGCGGGATACCGAGACGAATTAGGCATTTGACAGGATAGGAAAACGCCTATAAAGTTTGGAATAGAACGCATTGTCGCTGGTCTTGGAGGTTTCAACGCAGATGGGGTCTCTTGACGAGACGGAGGCAAAGACCGACAAGGTGCATGGAAAACTGACATCCATGAATATTCATCTCTGCCGATCACTCAAAAACAAAACAAAACAAAAAAAGACCAGGGTATGATGAATGTTTATATTTTTTGTGGTATTTTACTCTTGGGTGTTTCGGGGCTTAGTTGCCTTACTGCCTGTCGTGTCAGTGCCTATTGGTTTTTATTCTTCTTTTTGGTTGTTGGCTAGTGTTCAGCTTTAGCTCAATCAAACTAAGAAAGCAAGGAGAAACAATGTCTGGGAGGCCCGAGACAGCGCACGGTGGCAATGGGGAGGGTCCCGCGTCCACTGTGCCGCAAGGAAATGGTCGGAGGAGGGCGAGGCCGGTGCTTGAGGGTGGCACAGATCAACTCGCTGCGACTCGCAGAAGAATGGAGGAAGCGCGGCAACCACAGTGGACTCTTGACAGTCGTGTGGAAGATGTGCTGCTGGAGGCAACGGCTCGCAGCACCAACATGAAGCTGGGTGATTTTCTTTGGCAGAATTTTGGCGGCAGGGGCGTTGTGGACACGAATAGGAATGTTTTGCTGAAGGAGTTTTTAAAGGAACCTGCGAGGTATATCCGCGATGCGGGAGCATTGAACGAGATACACGCATCATCTCATTACGAGAGGGTCAGGAATGATCTAGGGAATAAAGTGGTTTTTGATGAAGATGTACGCAAGCTTGAGGAGAATGGCGTAAATACCCTAATCGACTGGCTAGAAGCTGCCGCGGGGGTAAAGGCAGTTGTTCATTGCATCACTAGGGTTTCTTTGGATCCATTCCTTGAAGACGTGAGGAACTCAATGAGGATGAGTGCATCGAACATACTGGAGGGGTTCTACGAGTCTGTGTACAATGCGAGGTGGAGCCATTTGGTGGAAGTTCCTGGTGGCGAGGGGACGGGAATGGAGGTGAAGGAGGGGAAACCACCACAGCCATGGACTTACAAGAAAGTTGGCTACACTCTCGAAAGGGATGACGGTGCACAGCAGTCCGGTGCAGCGCGTCTCAGGCTGATGGTGCTTACCTCGGACAAGGCATGGCCGTGCACGTGGAATCGGAAGGGGGTGGAATCCACTCGTGACTGCCACGTGAACTGTGAGGTGGAGCGAGTGTGGCAGATCGTCAAGGGCGATCTCACCGAGTGGTCCAGCAGCCACGGTAAGGCCGACTTTGAGCCCGAGCGGCGTGTGTTGATTGGGACGCCCGGGATCGGGAAGTCGATGGCTGCCGGCTCGTACCTCCTCTACCAGCTGCTGCACTGCGATGTCGAGAAACTCCAAATGGTTGCGTACTTTATTGCGGATCGAACATTCCTGTTTGACAAGACCAGCAGGACGGTGTCGACGTACATGAGCGACTCCAGTAATGCGTCTTTTGTGAGGAGTCTGTCTGACCGTGGGGTGAAGGGGTATATTATTTACAACGTGGCAGAGCCGGATGATGAACCGTTTGGTTATTCGTCTCCCAGCGGATGGGGCGTGGTTTTGGTGTCACCCCCATTCGAGAGTAACTACAAAGAATGGGTGAAGCGGAGGGGTGCCACAAGAATAGTTATGGATTGCCCTGGTGAAAGTGATGTGAAGGCGATGTGCGTTTGGATGGGGCGCCATCAGCCCGTGCGGGAGCAAGCGGAGGACTGGAAGGTGGTGAAGAGCCACATGGATGAAGTGGGACCTATTCCACGTTATATCTTTGACGAGCGAAAGTATGATAATTGGGTTCAACGGTGTCACAAGACCGTCGATGAGGCGACCTCTTCTGTAATCGCGCAATGCAATGGTTTTGGACGTGGATCCTGGGATTGTAAGAAGGTGCTCTACTGGATTGCGAAGGCTGTCCGAGTACGAGGTGGAGATTGCAGTTGTGAATTTTTTTCCAATGTACCGGTGTCTGCTCACCTCGGAAATAAAACATTATTCAAGTCGGCGAAGTTAATGCAGCAGCGTGATTTTAATTCACTCATATCGGAGCTGACGGATTATCTCATATCAGAAAATTTTGGAAGGTGCACCGTGTTTGCATTTTTGAATGGATCTTTTGTGCGTGGAATAGAACGCAGACCGAGGGAGCTGAGGCCATCAACACAACGTCAGTCCCACCGCTGTGCGCTGGCGGTGTACTCACAGGAGGGCTCCACCAGGCACCATGTCTTACCGCCACTGGAACACTTTTCTGAGAGGATTGATGTGGAGTGCGGGGTGCTGTACGTAACGGAGGTGGAAAACTTTCCGCTGGTGGACGCCTTTTTCTTCATGGAGTCAAAACCAATGACGCTGGTTGGGCTGCGGATGGCTGCGGCGGGTGGGCATCACACGACAACCAGCACCGTGAGGCAGTTCACTGAGTATCTGGCGGCATATTTTAATGGTTGGGAGGAGTTATCCCGACAACTGTCGTGGGAGATTATTTACGTGCAGCACGCAGACAGCACGCCGATGAATGACTGGCAGAGATGTGATGTCGTCGACTCCAATAATGTGAGCGGCGCGGACAACAATGAAATTGCGGTGTTCTGGAACGAAAAGGTACGCCAGTACCAAGTGTCAATATCATCCGAAGACGCCTCAAGAAGGTTTTAGAATTGAGGAGTAATTAAAGGAATAAATATGAAAACAAATTGGGGAATTGCGGGGGTAGTTTGAGTTCTGGTAACAAATATTGGGGCTTTTTTCATGTGGTTGGATGCCTGTGTGTGCATACAGTGCAGATGCACCAGCATCAGGCGGCAGCATCACACACGGATGCGGAAAATGTTCAACGCGAGCGATCGTAACAGTGAACGAAGAAGAGATTATGGAGGGAACGGGGTAGTTTGGTTTCTGGTAGAAAAACATTGCGGGTTGTTTCATACATGTGGATTTCTGTGCGTGCATACGAGGCATAGTAGGGAAATTGCTCTGTTATGAGAGAATGATTATGGCCAGCGGTGATGAAGTATGACTGCGTTGTTCATTTCCTCTTATTTTTTTATTCTAAGGCCCATCATTAAACGAAGCATCTTTAAGGGATGGACGACGACCAAGTTCTTTTGTGGAAACAGCGCACTCCGTGTGACTGCTTGGAGTGGGGCACCGTATTCAATTGAGGGTGGAATGGCTTCCTTGTGCCTGCGTCATCGTTGCTTCCCCTTGCGATTTCATGCTTGACTGCCTCACCGCGGCGCCAGGGCCAATTGCTCCGTATTGTTGGGGGGGCCGGGAGCCAGCAATGTTTCCCTCACGGGGTTGTTGTTTTCGTTGGTGTAGCGCTGACGGCATCGACCAGCGTCCGGACCAGCTGCCTTGTGCTGGGGCACATTTTAAACACCACGAGGTCTGGGGGCACGCGTTGCCGCAGCGCGGGCCACGAAATTGAAAAAACACGAGGGAGGACAACAGAAGCACAACTGTGCGTGCTGCAGCAAGTCGGCACTGATGCTCTTTTACTTTTTCGGCACTGGAAACTGAGAGGGTGCGCCCTGCGCCTGTTGCCAAGCACTCTCATAGCCACGTTTTGAATGGAGCGTGTTGTTGTTTCTCTGAAGCGGGTTCCGTGTGTCAACGCGACAGGGGAAAACGGTTGGCGGTGGCAGGAGTTCTTTCCGGAACGGCACTGGAGTGCAGGGTTCCCGGAGTGGGTCGCTCGCCGAGGTGGGGACGGCTCTCAGGGATTGTCTCGAGGCTGCTCCTCAATGCCGTTGTTGTTGTTGTTGACGGCCAATCGCTGATGGGGGAGCGAGGGATAGTGTGCTGTCGTGTGATTTCTCTCAGTGGCACCCGTTGGAGCGATGCATGTGTGTTTGCCTTGCGGATGTGGTGTTTTGTATCCCTATTTCACGTTATTCGGTGCCGCCGAAGTGGACGGGGAAGTGATGCAGTCACGAGCTGCGCGGGCGTGGTGGACACGGTTACGCGAGCCTGTGGATGATCCGAGCAAATCAAAGTGTACCATGCGGTTTGGGTCCACAAGGAAGGGAGAAACAGTGGGTGGCTGAGGGGAGTTGCAATGCACGCGGCTGCGGAAGATGACATGCGTTGCTGAGTTCTCGTTGAATGCCACTTTGGATGCTTTTTCTCGAGGCCGTGAATCCTTCCTAATTTACTTGGAGGTGCTTGATGACGCCAGTTGTGGAAGGCATTTTCATTTCATACGAGGATGGCACACTGGAGACAAGGACGAAAGAGAGCGACGCCTCGCCAAAGGAGCGGCTGCTGGAACGTTGACGAGACTCGGGATTGTCTGCACGGCCAGCTGCTTGCCCTCTGCAGGATGTTTCTTGAGGCGCTCATTGGCGCGAGAGTGAGGTGCACTCACGGACAAGCACCGCAACAACCGTGTCGTTGGTTCTCCGTTGCGCGAATGAGACGACGCACATCAGGCGTGGCAGGTGACGTCCCCTGCGGGCCCTCCCACCGCCTCTTCTGTTTCACATCTTGGCATTTTCTGCGCTGTGAAAACCGCTCCCACTGGCCGTCTTCTGTGACACGAGAGCCGCCTGTACTCCTTTCCGCCGCTTTGCAGAGTCGTGAGGAGGGTTGGAAGGTGCGTTGAGGAGCCGTGTGGCCTCTGCGAGCATGTCCTCTGTTTTTCTGAGGCGTTGAATTTTGGATTACCGAAACGCACCTTGAGTGGCTTGCGTTAGAGGCAAACATAACTGAGGGACAGACGTGTTCGTGGAGGTGCAGGAGGGCCGCGCCATTGGGAGGAGGAGGAGTGAATGGGTGGGTGTGTCCGTGGCCCACATGTGGTGCCCGACTGGTGCTTCACGTTGTTTGGTGCTGTTATCATTCGCATCCACAAAGAATGGCAGTGAGTGCTGCTTTTCCCAACTCTCTTACTGTGTCTGTGTGTTGCGTGTTTGTGGGCATGGCTCTTCTTTCGTGCTGTGCATTTGCCGCGTAAGCT